GAAGGTGATCTCGACATTAACACAACATCTTGTACAATGAAATGGTTTGGTATTCTACTGCATGGAGGTTCACTTTCAGATCATACATTCAAGACACCTGATGGTCAMATGACAGTGCAGTACCGAGTTTGTACATTTGAATTTATATCGTCTGTTTACATTCAGAGTAAAGCAACTCTCAATATCAAAGGAAAGTATTCGCTTAAGATCGAGAGCAAGAATGGAGGTGTTAACATTATGACAAGCATTATTTTGAACAAGGACCAACTAGGAGCATTTCGTTTGACGTCTCTTGATGGGAAGAGTATAGGTCAGTATGACTTTGGGTGGACATAATCATCATCATCATCATCATCATCATCATCATCATCATGGTTAATTTCATGTGGTATACGCATTATTACAATTCTCTCCTTACGTAATTTCATCCGTTTTCAGTCGCCTATGATTCCAATAATCGTGCAATAATCGTGAAAGACTGAATGTTTTCTTATCAGTAATTTGCCTAATTCGATTAGCAACTATTTCTCGGAGTAAATACGAACTAATCAATGTGGATCGCGGTATCCACGTAAACTGTTTTTAATAGATAACGGTCTCCAGAATACGTTCCGGATGCTCTTGGATGCGAAAGGTTTTTATACACATTTTTTGTACGATTGCGGGCATTTATGACATCTGTATCAATGCTTGTCAAACAATTTCTAAAACAATCTTCACAGGACGGTAGATGTTGGAAGACGATCCAAAGACTGTGGACTAGGAAATGCGGAAAGAAGAATTACCGGCATCGTGTGGAAAAAGGCTTTTTCTCGATTTTTCTGTTGTAAACGTCGTTAATCGCGTTTTGAACTCTTTCGATRATTGCCTTTTTCAACAATCCACTGAATATTAACGAAATATGTGATGTTAAGGTGTATTGTGTGATAATTGGTGTACATTTTTCATTTAATCGGTGCGACGGTATTTCGGACGTTTGAAGTAGATATGTTCACCATATGACGTCGATATGGGGCTACACTTCTCGCTGTAAGATACTATTATGTTCGGTATTTCGGCATTCAGTGATAAAAGGACTTCAGCCTTTAGGCAATGAATTGATAGTAGGCTAAGATTATCTCATATAAACTCTACAACGATAGAATCTAATTAATTCACAACATATTAAACGTTTTACTGATTAATTGCTAGAAATGCCTTAGGAGATTACAAGACCTTTGTTCATGACCCCTTTTATTCAATCGTCTGCAAAACCTATTTGTTACAGTTTATATCACCAATAGAAACTTCTACTTTTGAACATGTAAACAGACACCTCTAGCTATGTCAGACACCTCTATCTATATGGCAGACACCTCTACAACGATAGAATCTAATTAATTCACAACATATTAAACGTTTTACTGATTAATTGCTAGAAATGCCTTAGGAGATTACAAGACCTTTGTTCATGACCCCTTTTATTCAATCGTCTGCAAAACCTATTTGTTACAGTTTATATCACCAATAGAAACTTCTACTTTTGAACATGTAAACAGACACCTCTAGCTATGTCAGACACCTCTATCTATATGGCAGACACCTCTAGCTATATGGCAGACACCTCTAGCTATGGCAGATACCTCTAGCTATGGCAGACACCTCTAGCTATGGCAGACACCTCTAGCTATGGCAGACACCTCTAGCTACAAGCCAGATAGCTCTAACTATATTAAATATATCTTGCCACTAACTGATATATTAACCACAGGTCCAGGGAATGTGACAAACTGTAGTGCAACAGGCCTTTATGGGAATGATTTTACATCATTGATTGGAGGGAGTGTGTGTAATATTGAAAAAGGTAAGTTCATCATAGAAGGGCAAGCAGAAGTAAATGAAACAGACAGTAGGAAGGTTTTTTCTTTAGTTCTTACTTACACAGTTTTCAAAAATTGATTGATTGATTGACTGATTGAGTAGTTGATTGGTTGATTAATTAGTTGAGTGATTGCATAGCTTATTATTTGATTGATTAATCAAAATGATTCAAATGTTTGCTGATTTATTCTTTGAATGAGTGATATCATGGATGTATGATGTAGATGRTCAATTTGTTCTTTATTTAATATTATATCTTTGTTGTCAGTTGATCAGTTGTTGTTTTGTTTCTGTATATAATGTAGGTGTAGATTCAGTCAGTGCTACAGGAGGTGGATCAATTGAAATAAGAGCTGACAATGGAGATGTTGTTATTGGTAAGAAACAAGAATGAACAATCTTTTCTAAAAGATCTTAATCTTTTCTTAAAACAATCCTTTCTTAAGGGGGTTGACCTGAATAAGTTAGTAATTCTTTTTTAGCAGGTTCTGATATGTCTAAATATATGAAATGTTGATAATTAGTTTTCGTTCTATGTCCTTTTTCCAGGCGACAAGATTATTGCYGATGGTATATCTAATAATGCAAAAGCAGGAGCAATGGGAGGTACCATTCGCTTGGTTGGAAAGCAGGTAACTGACTTCATTGTTGATGTTTTCTTTGCTGTGGTGAATTCTGACCTCTTTCCTTTTTTCATCTTCTTTTACATTCATATCTTGATAATTATCTGTTAATGTATCCATGCTGCCAAACAATAAATATTTCTTTCTATGCACTTCATACCTTCAGGTACATTTGAAGAGCAATGCATATCTGTCAGCCAAAGCATCTTCTAGCAGTGAAAGTCTTGCTTGTGGTGGAATCATCCAGRTCAAAAGTACTCATGATATTCAAGGCTTATGTGAAACAAAGTTTAATGTCTCAGGAGGCTGCAATGGTGTGGCCCATGTCTTAGGTACGTGATATGGATCATGAGTGGAGTGACATCAATGCATCAGTGAACCACCATGTGTTGACAGTCATTGATTTTGCACAGTAAAAGCAATTGTTTGAGTGGTTGATAAAATGTTTAGACTTCTTATAATGTCCTGTAGGAATTTATTCTTCCTTCTACAGTGCTTGCTATTGATAAAATTATTTTCAATTGATTTAAGTTAGTTTGTCCAGGCTGCATCAATAATGGGATTGTATTTAGTTTCAGCAAAACATTCCTTCCAAGTGCAATACATCCTTAATGGGRTTCTAACAATTAATACAGCACAATGCAGATGGTCACATCAACAAAACTCAAATTACATGGTCTACACCCAGGAAGGAATGATTACCAACAATGGAGTTTGCTTATTTAACTTTCAAATACCAATCATCATTAATGGATCTGCTATTGTTGAGCTGTCGGGCAAGAATGCTTTAAAAATATATAGTACACAGGGAGTCTATATTGGTTCCTCTTTTAGAATCAATTATAGTAGTATTAGCGCATCAACTATGCTGTTCCTGGGAGGTTATTGCGTAGTACAAATGACCGAAGGTGAGAGTGATGATCATCCATCGATATATCATGATGCAGTCTGTTATCAGTTATTTTGCACACCACACCAATTGTCATTTTTAGTTATCTTTATTCACAATTCAATAAACYTATCACTCACATGTCATTGCCATCGTACTTAAAACAGCTGCTTCAATATATTGTTTGTTTATTAGGTAAAGGACCTGGCAGAGGCTTTCCTGGAATTGCTGCAGGGGGTGGTCATGGTGGCAGAGGAGGAAACTTCAGAGAAGAAAATAAATTTATATTTGGCGGGGTGTATGGTGTCCAGCCATTTGACTTTACTGGAGGAAGTACAGGTAACCTATTCGTCTAACTAATTTAGATCAGTTTGATCTTGTTGTTTAATCCTGTTGTTATTCTGTAATTGTTTGTTTGTTTTTACTGTTGTTACTTGACTATAACAGCTGCTATTATYGTTGTAACTATTTTACTTATTGTTGTACATAAAGAATTTTAGAAGTCAACAAATGTTTTCAATGAAACAGTTGACAGTTTAAAAAGAAAAATTTAAAACACAGTAAAAAGGGGGAAACATCTTCTTGACATTTTGGACGTTCATCCTTTGTTGRAGTAATGTTTTCAATGTGCAGTTTTGAATATTTAACTTGTATTGATATGGCTAAATCTCTTTTTAACAGGAACCTCATTTCATAACAGTCAAATGACAGCATGTGGAGGAGGAGCCATTTGCATCGAATCACGGAAAAACCTCACTATTGGTGAGTATGGGATATTCTAATACAATTGTAATTTTATTTTTGTGAAGAAGTGAAGGATATGCAACAACCAAAGARTCTACATGCTGTTTTCCGTGTTCCATCATAATAATCAATTGCATCCCACATACATAAGGGACTTACTCATKTTAAGAAAGTTCTGTTTGTAAAAGTCCACAGAAGACTTTTTTATCTTGGTGTAACATTATAACCTTGGCCTTAGTAATTTTGATATTTTGATCCAAAAACTATAATTTGTGTTTTTCATTAAAACTTAAATGAAGCAACACATATCATTTTGTACAGATGCGCACATTAAAGTTAATGGGTACACAAGAAAGTCATCCTCTGGTTATGGCGGTGGAAGTAGTGGTGGAACAATTGTTCTGGGTGGTAAATATGTAAGTATTTGCTTTYATTTTAAGTTCTTAATGGTTTGCTGACTGGTTGGCAAGTTAATTTTTTGAATGGCTTGCATAGTTCATGAGATACTACATGTGTATACACAGTTGGTTGGTTGATTGGTTCTGCTGTCTCCTGGGTCAGCTGCATAAGTCAGTTGTCTGTCTGTCTCAGTGAAAGAGTGTTAAAGTTTGTTTGAGATTTGGTGGGTTGTATGTTTTTTTTTCTGGTTTTATCAATAATTTCATCTATGTAGGTAATCCTTGGAAACAATGCAGTACTCGAAGCTAAAGGAAGTRATGGTATGAATTTCAACTCCAGTGGGGGTGGAGGAGGGGTTATTGCCATTAATACATCAGCAGCACTAGTGGGAMAGGAGCCCAATGTCTCCATAGCAACAGCAGGTGGCAGTGGATTCATGGCTGGTGAAATTGGTGTCTTTATCTTAAATGGTATGATTAAACCACCATTATATCAGCTGCAACATCATTAACCGTTATTCATTTTTGAGAGTTTAAAGATAGGAAAAGAGCTTCTTTCATGTAATTGTTTCAGTTCTCTGTTTGTAAAGCTTCTGCTGTAACAAYTATTGTTCTACACACTATGTTTTAGGTCAGGTACAACGCCAACAGTATAATCCAGGTATGGACTGAAATGACATTCAAAACATTCACAAGAACAATGACAAAAACATGACATTATCATATCGTTATTATTTGTAATAATTTCATAATAACTGTTTTGYGCAGGGGTGGAAATTGGAGAGAGCTATTGGGGCTGCTACAAAGTCACTCAAAAAAAATTTACACACTCAGAACAAATGCTAGAACATAAAGCAATTCCCAGTCGATGCCTTGAAATCTGCAGAGAGAAAGCCAAGATTGCTTTAATTAAAGCCAAATTGTGTGCATGTATGAATGATGAGACTTCGTTTGAGAATGTGGAACCAATCATGTGTAGTCTGCCCTGCCGTGGAACATATAAATATCAGTGTGGAGGCAGTAGTTTAAACATCTATAGTGCTTACAAGACAGGTGAGTCTCTGCTAAAGTCAATTATTATCAGAGATAATTAGAGTCTGAAAATTGATCATTTTCATCCATCTGTTCATTCTTTCTTTCATTCATTAAGTCAATTATTTAGTCAATCAAACAGCAAGCCAGGAACAGTTTCAATCAATCCATTTCTTTCCTTAATTGTAATGTGGAAAACTTTATATGCAGGCCTTACATTTTCAACAACTCCACATCCAAGTGAACAACCAACAACTCGCCCTTTTAGTGAACCATCACAAGAGGTATGTATAAAGTTTTCATTAGTTTTACTGTATAAATACAGATTGCTTATTTGGCACCCATTGCAAACAAACGTCTTAGTACATTTTGCAATCATACAGACAGTATGTTAGTTACTGATTGTAATTCATATTGAAATGCTGCCAGTTTAAAGAACTGAAAAATGTCAACATMAGTGGAAACAACTCCAAAGAAGTGCTGGAGAAGCTTTCAAMCCTGACAAAAGAATCTGACCTGAATGGAGGTGACATTCAAGCAGCTGCTAATATCTTTACTAASCTAGCAATAACTGATTTACTGGAACCTAAGAATATCAACGAGACAGAAGAATATGGAAAGGTTAGTAATTGGTTGAACAGATTCAATAGTCTGTAACTGGTTAAACAGGGTATGACAGGTCACTAACCAGTTCAGCAGGTTTATTGAAGGCTTGTCACAGGTCAGTATCAGGTTCAGTGTAGGCTTACTAGTATGATAGGTTAGTAATCATTTTGGAGGTTCAATATAATAAGCTTAAGACTGTCTATACTGCATGTAATAATAATAATAATAAGTGGTATTTATATAGCGCCAATATCCTCTGAGTTCAAAGGCGCTTCACATGTATAGATCATTTCACACGGACCGCTGTTTAAGGCGCAATTGGCAGCCACGCGGCTTACAATCATGAGGGGTTAGTAATTAGTATGGGTTAGTAGTAAGGCCTAGCCACACACACCGGGAATCATTCCCTACTCTTATGCGAACAGTGGTGTGGGTTCTTTAACGTCCCTCTAATACAGGTTAGTGAGTGAAGTGTAGAGAGAAGTGTAGACATGTACCTAACTTGTTGGCTTAACAGGATCATGGCTTATGTAATATTCCATTTTTTAGTTTGTTGCAGACACAGTTGGCCATCTTTTGGGAACCAAAAACACATATAATTGGGCAMAAATAGCTGCATCAAATAATACCAAGAATGAGGTGAGTTGATATTAACTATGTTGGTAGTCATGTACCAGAGGGCAGGCCCTTTTCTCCCCATGTCTTGTCTTGGAAATAAACACCAATACAACACATTCCAATTAAGTATMAGGTAATCAATGCTCATTTGATTTCAGAAGTTTTTCTCACCTAATGAATTGCTCAATGCAACTGAAATAATTGGAATCAACCTAGGAAAAAGATTGCAACCAAATGAGCAAGTTACTGTTGAGTCCAGTAATTTAGGTTTGTATAGTTTATATTTACAAATATCAATCATTGTAGACTTACTGCACTAAAACAAGAGATTCATTACATCTAGAATAAGTGAGATCGAACTGTTAGTGAGACCTGATGARCCTGTTTTTCTTGTTTGTTTGTAGTCATGGAAATAGTACGACAAGATCTTTCAGACTTCAAAGCAGTGACTTTTCCAAAGTATGTCAAATTGAGCAAAAATTGGCAATTTCAAGATAGCATTTCTATATCRGAGGAACCTTTCAATCAGCTCAAGGAACAAGGTGCATTTTTGCTCATCCATCCATCCTTCCATCCATCCATCCTATATTCTCTCTTCATTGATTGATCCATGCTGTTATAATTGTGAATAACTATCATTTGCCATTTTCATGCCCCCTACAGGAATTCAGCAAACAACCTTTGTTGGTCTATTCTACAATAACATTTGTAAAACCCTGAAAAGGTAAGGCRTACACACAGACATATTGAATGAGCTGCTTATCAGTTGTAGGGATGGGGGGAAGGGGGAATGGAGGTAGGGAGCCACTACACAGGCTACATAATGAACAAATGAGTGAACAAATGAAAAAAAGGTAGCAATATATTACCCTGATATTATCTAATTATCTTGTTTGTTTTCCATTCAACAATAGAAACTTGGCCAGTGACAAAATGATCAATTCCAAAATCTTAGCAGTAGGTTTTGAACATAGATTCACTGAACGGTTTAAAAACCCTGTTAAACTTARATTTTCTAAAGAAGAGGTAAGTGCTTGTCTTGGGCATGGAATGGGTTTAATGTGTGTAAAATGTGKATGTGTTTGTGCTTAACATTGTTTGCTTGTAGAACTGGAAGAATCTCACCAACCCACAATGTTCCTTTTTGGATTTCAGTGAAACGTAAGTATAGCTAATGAAAATAAATGTGATAATGATGATGATGAYAAATTATGGTGATTATCATGATGGATATGGAGACAATAGCAAACAATTGTGATGATGTTGATGATGCTGATGATGATGACTTTGAATGATGATAATACCATACTYATTGTAAAGCTTTTTGTCTTTCAGTCAATATGGAGAATGGTCAGATGAAGGCTTTGTAATGACATCTTCAGAAGACGAYTCTATTGTGACATGCGAATGTAACCACCTCACTAACTTTGCTGTACTTATGCAAGTCAAAGAATTTACAGTATGTTACGGAATTATTGATAATGGTTATTTTTATCTGTGAATTTTTATAAGTAACGTAGCATATACGTTTATTTGGTATGATGGGGAAAAAACTTTTTTCTGCAGCCATCTCGTTCRCATCAAAAAGCCCTTCAGATGATTACATACATTGGGTGTGGCATATCCTTATTTGGACTTGCACTTACTCTGGCTACCTTCCTATCACTTGAGTAAGTAGAATAGTGTACCATTGGTGGGAACTAGCGGTAAACTAGTGTGAGCTGCGTCGGTGTTTCTAAAGAAACAGTTGTGTAAAAAGATAAATTTAACACCGTAAAAAAAGTATAGTGTGAAATAACTTACTGACGTTTCGGACGTTAATCCTTCGTCGGAGTTAAGGTAGTGTACAATTGATTCTTGCCTGACTCATGTACCATACGTTTTTATATCAATTCATTACGGTAATTTTCGCGTTTATCTTAACCTCGCGTGTATCCTAGCGTAACCGCATGCTTTTTTTTCGTAACCGTTGATCCCACTGACTACTAGCGCCAACGCATCTATGTTGTCACGAGACCGTATCTTGATCTTACGTGTATACTTACGTAACCGCGTGTATGTCGTTACGTTACCATATCTTGACTTCACGTATACGTGGTGTAACAAAKGAACGAATGACAAGGACAATTGTCTTTTAGAACACTTGCTTCAGAACGTACCTCAATCCACAAGAACCTTGTTGTCGCTATTGGACTTGCGCAGATCATCTTCCTAGCCGGCATAGATGCAGTCTATAACCCTGTAAGTAYATCAATATAGTTCGACTTTGTTRACTCATTTTACTGTCYATTAAATATCAATGCATTGCGTAACATTTGTCGTTTAATCAGATTGCTTGCAAGATCGTGGCGTTATCGCTACACTACCTATACATGGCAGCTTTTACGTGGATGTGCTGCGAGGGAATTCATCTCTACACCAAAGTCATTGAGGTGTTTTCCTCAGAGACGAGCAAGATGAAGTATTACTATATGCTTGGATGGGGAGTTCCTCTCATTATTGTCATCATTTCCGCTGCTTCAAGAATGAGYGGATACGGAACGGAAACAGCGTAAGTCAATACGGATTGTATGCTGGTGTAGTTGTGTGGTATTCATATTCTATGTATTATTTAATAGATGCTGGATATCTATCAAGCATGGCCTTATATGGGCATTTGTTGGTCCTGTTCTCATCATAATGTCTGTAAGTATCGTTTCACGGTTTTCCAGACAGCGAGTCTGTCACTATATAATGCCGTCTGGTAGTCCGTCATTCCAAATCCCCACCAATTCATCACTTTTTGTTTGCAGATCAATTTCGTTGTCATGGTGATGGTGATCAAAGTCATCATTGCATCGGTGTCTGCAATTCAGACTCCCGGAAACACATCACAAGTGAAGTAAGTTGTCTCCTACACCCAAGATCCCTTGCCCCCCTTCCCCTGCGCCTATGTTCTCCAAAACACTTATTTCACAGGGCAAGCCAGACTACATTTGCTTTATACTAAGAATTTRATTGCTGGTATGTTCAGGGCTGGTCTAAAAGGAATGGTGGTACTTCTACCGTTACTCGGTTTAACCTGGGTGTTTGGTCTTATGGCTGTCAACGAGAAAACTGTTGTCTTTCAGTACATCTTCGCCATATTTAACTCACTTCAGGTAAAATCCTTAATTAACTAATCAATTACTGTCAGTAATGGTAAAACGCTGTAAYATTTAAACAATACGGATTCTTTAGCAAAGAGAAATTCATTATAACAGACAAAAGAAGATCACTGAGGCTAAACGCTTTCTTTTGCCTGTATTCGTTTTTACTAAATATAAAGGTTATATTTATCTGTGACAACATTTTTGCAAATATAAGCTTACATGTCCTTTCCCAGGTAAGCTTATATTAAGTTCTTATATCTATAAGCTTATTGAGACTTGCTCGACCTAGTAAATTAATGATACAAAATCTTTCTTCAGGGACTTTTTATATTTGCTTTCCACTGCATTGGAAATTCTGAGGTAAGATCAAKGGAGCACAACAAAATATTATATTTCTTTACCTTAATTCCTTGTTTTCATATGTTTTTATGTCGGGCTAGACCATCTTGAATCTTCCGCCATTTTGTATTTTACATYTAATGYGTTTCGCCGCTGACTGTCATTACCGCTGGCGCATTTAGCTTTTGACAACTGAAGAATCATTTTCCGATCGAGAATCAAATGAAAGAGTTGAAAGTTAACCGGCTCGCCCTCGGAGCTGGTTTGTCTACACTAGTCAGTCGAAAAACGCAGAAATTCGAAATGCCGTCCGACAAACTATTGTTATTAACAAAATGAAATTATGTAAATTCCCTAATATACTACAAAAAGGCATTCTGCCGTGCATCGTCAAATAATATAGAATATATAATTTAAAAAAAGTCAAGTAGCATCATGCAAGTAGTTATCGAGTCAAATGCTCGCTTTTTACCAAATATGGTGTTTGATTGCCATATTTGGTATATGATCATACTGTATCAGTGCAGTGGTGGCTCAGTGGAAGAATTCTCGCCTGTCAGGATGATTGACAAATTGCTTTCTCTCAGGTTCGTGTTGCGTACAAGCGACTTCATGAGAAACGTACCCTGGCCAARATGCCTGAACACTCCCTGTCATCGGGAAATCATCACMGGGTATGATTACTTGTCTGTCTGTCTCAATCTAATACGAATGCATGTTTAATCGACTTTAACCTCCTATTAACGCTGTTTTAATCTTCTTTATCTTCCTTGATTGACTCGTTGATCTTCATCAGAATGTCGAGGTAAGAGGGATGAACCGCGCGTGATATATCTTGTTGATAATACTCGTCTTTATASATTAATGTTACACTATTACTAAAGTTTCAACATTTCGTAATCAATAAAGACAAATCACACACAAAATAGATTTTAATTCCAACTCGAAGAAACTAATCAATCACTATAATGACTGCCATGCAATCATCTGCAATTCATATTACCTTATAAGACCTTATAATGCAACCAATGCTTRCGTATGGAATTAGAGTTGGTCTTATGACCAATTTGTTGTAAACTAACATCTAACAATGTGGGAAGCAAAACGGGAAATTGAAAGAAACTTGGAGCAAAAGAGAACAAAAGATAGAAAGCGAGTAAGACCAAAAGGACTGAAGAGGAAAAGGAATGGGTAGCAAAACGGAATATGGATATGTGAATGAACGCCGAAATGGATAAATGACTAAAAAAAGAAACGAAAATGAAAAAAAAATTGATTTTGTAAAGACACATGATGGGCGTATTTATAGTTATCTAAACACCCTTTTGCTTTGCAGGAATTTAAGAGACGGATGAATTCCAGAGAAACCAACTCAACAGGAGACGAAGATATCATTGTAACGAAAGCTATTCGAAGTGTCTCAGGTATGTGTGCAACAGTTTGTGTCACGCAAAGAGTGTCACGATGTTTGTCACGTTCGGCACCGCATATGTAGTAACGGTTTGCGTGACGCACTTCAATGTCAYGCCATTGATAACTGTGTTGGTGTTTTATAGATGTAAAGCTTTCCGGCGCTCACGACCACGTGGCTATGCAAACGGTAAGTACCGACTTAAACTTGACGAACGTGAAAAATAAACCGTCTGTAAAAATGTTTAAMACTAAATATTTAAAGCTTTGCATCCTTTGAAGAAGATAATATACTTACCTGTAAAACATTAAGATTTCCCARCATTGCATTGCGGCTCACTAAACCAATCCAATGACAATTAAATGACGTAAAGACAGGGATCCCGGATTTATTAAAAGTTGACAATAATTTGTTCTCAGTTCGGAGATGCTGACTCAGGACGTTGGTCACTAAACTGTCCCTCACCCGACCCCCCGTAAGTATGATCATAATTCAATTAAACAATATTGATAAAATAATACATTTGTAGGCTGATTTGTACATAAATTGGAACCGCACATATGTTGAAATGATAATTATTCTATATAAGCTGAAATTGACGGTCATAAAACATTTAAACTTAAAAATACTCAATTATCATGCATTGCAGATCGTATTTTAAAGTTATTCATGTTTTGTAAAATTACCCAGTAATGCATTGCAGACCTTATTTTAAAGTTATTGTCATGTTAAATTACTCAGTAATGCATTACAAACCGACGAGAAAACATCTCAAAAGTAAATTGCGCGAACTTTACTTCGCAGTCGCCGATACAATCTCGCAATTCGTGCTATGGTAATTCATGTTCAGTCCTTCATTACCCCACCTTTTTATATACGTGCTAATTTTAATCAAGCATGTGTAATATAACCTCAGGGGGGGTCGTATAAACAATCGTCAAGCTAATGCTACTACCACTAGGTCCGTCAGTTATCAGCCAGCCGTCAAGAGCCCAAAGCGAGACCCCCGGTCACCACCAGTTATCAGTAACGGTAAAACAACATCAAGCCTTCTCTCAATTGCAATCGATCTTTGACTAAAGCTCTTGAAACCGCATWAAAATTCACGAAATAACTAACAGTTCCTGTCTAACCCTCGGTGACTTGACAACTGATTTATAACTTCCTGGACTAACCGATTCTTTCCTGGTCTTCGATACGTCTTGCTAGTGCATGCTGCATKAGAGGAACTGTTTACACCGCTTTGATAACACTTTTACTGTGCGCATGTCAGAAGTAAACCATGATACTCTGCTGTCAATTGTTGTTGACACTCTAAGATAGAGAACTAATTCTCGCCCCACCTTAGTAACAAACTAACATACATTTGTTGCAATTACTTTCATAAATTTGTGAAATTAGATTTTTAGTGCCACACTATTGTTTTCTAGTAATGTCAATACTTGTATTACTTATATGGGTTTGAGATGAATGACACTCTAATCACTGTTCTAGAGCCCGGGGGGGGGTACTCCCATATATTTGCTATAC